AAAGAAAGAAAGAAAAGAGGAAGACAAGTGCATAAACAAAAAAACACCAGCACTAGATCCCAGAAAGGAATGTTTAGTACAGTGGCCCTTCTTTTCATTCAAAATCTTGAAAAGTAATTTGGTGAACGAAATCATCGAAATGCATAATGATTTAACTTGGTGAAGGAAGACAAATCTATCAGATGATACAGCTAATGCTAGGCGTCTAGAGTCTAAAGGTCCGGACCTCGCTGGTGCTCTGTTTGTGCGTAGTTAGCATGAACCGGGTCAGCTTCACAGGCGGGTTCGTGCTTTCTCAGTGCAAACATGGGACTGGTAGGACCTGGCCCAAGTGGATTCCACCTCGCTCGTACTGGAGATAAGGGACAAGATGACGGGAAGAAGAGGGAAACACAGACACCCTCCTTTCTCTTTTTCTTTCTCTTTTTCTTTTTGTTGACAAACAGGCCTTCAGCCCTGGCTCCTGTTCATTCTGGGCAGTGGCAGTCCTGTTCCTTTGTTTGTTCTTTTTTCAATTTCTTTTGCAGTCCGATTCCTCTTTCTCACAAGGGCAACAGCCTAGGTATCTAGCGATGTCATCTCTGAACTGACCGACCACGGGTAAATTCATAGGCTTTTTTTAACTTCTTCTTCTTTTTTTTTTTTTTCTTTTTTTTTTTTTCCCCAAAGAGGTTCATTCATCTTGTTCCATCTCGATTCAAACTCAGGTCTGTATTTCAACAGTTGCTGTGTCTGATTCCAGTGGGATTGGAACTCAGGTCTGCATTTCAACAGTTTGTGGGTGTACCAACTGAGCTAGGCCAAGTAAACAAAAACAGTACAACTTATGGAAATGGGGATTGCGGAAGAAGATAACAGGGGGGGAAAGGGGCAAGGGTATGACGAAGTAGGGAACTAGCCTAGCAATTGGTCCTGTAGGTTGAGTGAGTAGAATGGAATAAGCGAACACTGGGTAATGCTCCCAGATTTACCGGCCTTTATGTGGGGTGGCCGGCCCCAGCGATTGTTCCCTTTCCATAATGAGAATCAATGTGCCTTGTACCACTTATTGACCACTGGGATTCCACCTTGAATGGATGTCTACCTTCTTCCCCCGAATACAACATACTGTCATTATACCTGTATTTAGACTGAAAGATAACCCATAGACAGCTATAATTACCGTACATTGTATTCGAGGGAAGAAGGTAGTACTGACAGCGGGTCCTTGTCTGTGGGGTGAAGGGTGAGCAGGGATGGAATAACAAGGTAGGTGAGGTGGGAAGAAGTCATTCGGGCAGTTTGGGGTTTGGAACACAAGGACATTAGGGTACCAATCAGTCAGCAAAGAGACAGAGGAACATTGGGGCAGAGGGTCCAAATTTTACAGGAATTTGCAGTCAGATTCCAGCCAATCTGAGGAAGATACATCACTGCTGTGCATCTGATTTGTAAGGATCTGCAGTTAAGTCCAGCTTCCAAGGAGTAGTTTGGGTGGCATAGAGAATGGAGTGATGTGAACGGACGGAAAAGGACAGGAAAAGGAACAGAAAACAAGAAATGCAGCTTACATGTCGTCAGCAATACCAAAAGCTTTTCTCTGCAATGCCATCTTTGCCCCGGCAGATGATGCCCTCCGCCAAAGACTCTCAGTGACATCCGCCAGTGGGTTTGCACTCTCCTTGTCTCGGTATTTACTCAAGCCTTGGCCATCCCAGATCATATCGAGTGGCACATCTCCTCTGAAGATCGCCTGGTCACTACACAAAACCTCATCTAGTCACAATCTCAAATGCCCTTGTGCAGTACAGATACCAACACCAAATTTTGTGAAACTCGACATACGATGCATAACACTCCTCCAATTCCTCTCTCTCTCTCTCTCTCTCTCTCTCTCTCTCTCTCTCTCTCTCTCTCTCTCTCTCTCTCTCTCTCTCTCTCTCTCTCTCTCTCTCTCTGTGTG